ATAGGGATTTAAATCAGTATAACCAACTCAGCAAGATCACAAATGCTTCAAAAAATTACCATAATTAAAGATGTCTTTGCAGAATAAAGTCTGGGCTGGTTCTCTGTTCCCTGTCACTAGGTAGCTGTTCCCATCACTTCACAGAGCACCAAGCAAACATCAGATGTTTCAAACTCAAAATAATGGGATTATAAACCAACCTTGCAACAACTAATACTACTGCTATGGTTTAGAATACAATGTGAAAAAAAAAGGCCTATGCAAATCCTGGCGGCAAGATGCTGCTTTATATTCAGCACTTAACAACAGACATGTATTTTAAATACCTATGAAGGTAGCTTGGGTGGCAAGGCACTGCCTGTCGGCCTCTATGACAGACTTCTGTTGCTGGAAAGTACTGTGCAAGAGAATAACAAGTCTTTTCTTTTCAGTGTAAGGGATGAACAGGTTTTAAAAATACGCAGACCTACCCACTGGGGATGAAGTTTGCATAAGTAGGCTGATTTAGTGAAGCATATCTACTCAGCACATATATAATAAGCAGACAGGTGCCCGTATTAGGTTTTCCTGTAATTTTATTTTAAATTAAAGACCTGATAAATGTCTGGAGTGCTTGTAATCTAACCATGTGAAATTCCAAATGTGGATTTTATAGGATTTCACCTGCAAAATGTTGGCAGGTTTCTTCGAGTCATGTGACATAACTCAAGTATTGTTTAGTGGGGATTTCCCTCGGAAGGACTATTCTCACTTGGAAAGTCTACAAAAAATGAGCTTAATCATTTTTCTAATTTCACTTCCCCTCAAAATAACAACAACAATCAAATCACTCCTCTTTTCCTATTTTCATAAAAAAAAAAAAAAAAGCATCATTGGAAAAAGAGACATTTCAAATGAAAGAAAAAAAAACTCTAAATTTACTTTAAAATCTTCATACAAATCTACTTGGAATTCAACTAGCAAGAGCATTTTATTGGAACTGCAGAGTTACCAATATAAGCTTCCAAAATAAACTGGCGCACTTGTTTCAAAACATTTCATATACATTAAGCATTTTATGAGGAACATTCTGATCTCCATGCACATCATCCACGCACCCAAGAGTGGCATTAGCCTGGAGCTCTATTTCCAGCCCTAGAGAGAGAGGAAGGTGAAGGATGACTAGAAGGACAACTCCCACACTGACTCCAACTCAGAGGCTCACACGCTGCCGTGTATGAATTCAGCAGTATTATTCAAATCCAGTATACCCTCTGATGCTACAAGGTCAGAGCTAGGCTTTGCAGAAACTTAACAGAGAGCTCAGCAGGCTCACAATCTGTGGATATACGTGTGAGCTTGCCCAAGAACAGTTAAATTCCCACAAGCAGAAAGAGTCTTTGTTGCAGCAAGTCTCCATCCCCAATAGAAAAGAAAATAATTTATAGAGAAGCCCTCTTCTGTGGGCAACAGGTAGAAAGCGTTTTGCCTCTCACTTTCATTTTACAGCACAGGTATGCCTCCAAATTATGGAGGTCGCTAAAGAATTATCATACATCTTCCTAAGCAAGCATCATTATCTCTCGCTTCTACTGTCAGAGATAGGGAGTATATTTTGTTACCATTAGCAGGAAGATAGGTGAAAAGCTGGTACTGGCTTCTCTTTCTCTTTCCGTTGCAGACGTAGAAGTTGACCTGAACAGGACTGGTAATTCTCTGATTGCGGAAAGGTGGTATCTCCACCACCAACGAGTTCTGCAAAAACAAATCAGAAAGTCAGGGCATGACTAAGGCGGTCTATCTGCACAACCTGGACAATTAGCCCTGTGAGGAACACCTCAAGGAGGAAAGCTGTTGCCACAGGAGTGGTGGGCTGGCCTTCACGGACAACCAGTGAGTTGCATTAAGGATCTCCTGCTGCCTTGGATGTCCTAGTGACAGGCAGCTCCATCTTTACCAAACCCCTAGCTCACAGATCTTCCCTGTCGATAGCAAATAATTCACTGTGTGTGGACACAGCCCTCTCTCTTGCATCAGACAGGAATCTGGCACCATGATCAAATCGTGGGCTACATCTTGGCAGTAGAAAGCACAACTGCAGCTGGCAGGTCATCCCCAGTATACCTTGCTGTAACATAACTTATTTTGCAAGGCGAATTAGGACAGGAATATGATTATCTAAATATTTCCATTTTCCACAATTGAGTGTCGTTTTTTGCATAACGACTCAGGAAGTCTTAAGCAGGCTAATTTCTGTGGAAGGGCGATCTCAAAAGAACATTTAGTACCACAGAAAGGAGCATTGTGGAGATGATCTTCCACTGTCAGAAAACAAATGCTCCAGCATAAGGCTAAGGAAAAACTTGGCTGTCAGCTTACACAAGTGAACACTAAAATCTGTTGTGACCATCAAAACCTCCCCTGGCACTTTTTGAAAGAGTAAAAGGGAACATTAAGCTCAACATTTGGCCTTCTTTCAACTGAGGTCTCAAAACTGTTTGTCTGCATGTCTCCAGCAGAATCACAGCTAACAAACTGCTGCATATTGCTGCGGAGCTAAAATAGTTGCCATATTTCCCACCTACAGTCATGGTGAGTGAGCCTCACTTCTCTAACCGTGGGGCAGATCTCCTGTGAGGAGACTCCCTTTTCTTCTGCTGCAGATCCATGAAAGCCAGGGAAAATGATCAGAAATTGCTTTGGGATGGGAGAGAAGAACCGGCCCAGCAAGACAGAAGATGAGCAGATGGGTTTGGCCCACCTTGGACAATGAAAAAATATTTTCCAGTTGGTCTTTCCTACTTTCAGGATAGAGTCCAATGAAGGCTTTTTACCCTGTGCTCCCATTAAAGAAAGATTTCCAGGAGGGGAGGCCTAAGTACTTGTTCTGTTTCAGAAGGGGGACACAGTGCCAAGTCTTGGAAATCCCTATTTAGAAAAAGTTCTAGAGAAGGCAATATATATTTTTCATTTTGATGTTAAAATATTTAAGGCAGACTTACTGGCTTGCACATTTCTTTGTCGGTTTTGGCTTCCATTTCCCACACATGGTGACCATCTAAAAGACAAAAGAAAAAGGATATCTAGTTCTGTCCTTTCTTTCTTCTCCTGAATCTACAGAAGAAAAATTTAGAAAATCAAAAGAAAAATAAAAACAAAAAACAAAAAAACCCACTTTCAGTGATATAAGGGGCACTGTATATATGAAGAGATGATCTCAAAATACTTTCCCCAAACAGAAAGCCATCTGTGTAACCTGCTGCAGGATCTCACTGAGCATTTTTTATGGGAGGAACCACAGTCCATAGCATGTAATACTGTGATGGGGCAAAGCCACTGAGATTTTATTTTGCTGCTAGTTTGAATGGAATACGCAACCGTGCTATACTTCAACCTCCCAAATTTTCAGACAGAAATACTAGTATCTATCAGGTCTTTTGATCAGTATGCGTGCATTAAATCATATAAGCGTTTGACATTAATATTAAACGAAACAAAACAAAAGCAGTACTGAGGAACCTCCTCAGCCATGCAGTATTTTATTTCAACACACTCCTGGCCTGGTTTGTCATAATTTTGCTGCTTGGATCAAAAAGGCAATATGCTGGGAAATACAGCTTTTGACAACCATGACTCCACTTTAAGGCTGGTTTAGCTCAACTTAATTGCTCAAACCTACAGTTTTCTGGAGCTGCTTCCAGTGGTGCGTTGGGTCCTTCTGATGTCCTGGATTTGTGTTTTCAAGCAAAAATAAATTTAAGTTGTAACTACCATGTTTTATAGGAGCCTAAAATAATTAGTTTTGTCTATTCATTTCTTTCTCCGGCTCACTGATACTGAAGTAACTGGCCAATAACAGTTTTCTTCTTCCTTGCAGCTTCAAAACTCAACAGCAAAGAAATTAGAAAAATAATACAAAATGTAAGCTTTCCATTCTGCAGGCCTAGAAAAACAGAAACCCATTGGGAAGGCCGCAAGCGGATTGCTGTCTAAGTTCAGCAGCAGAGACGCACGCCGCTCAGTGAGTCCCACCATTGTCAGATGCCACTGGAATGAATGGGAAAATTAGACTTGATGTCATCTCTTTTGTATATTTATTGCAGCACTGGGACATACAAATGCAAATATTAGCTATTTTGAATTTCAGCACATAGATGTGGCCCTGCCTTAAAAACAACAGCTCTCGGAAAGGTGAAAGAGTGAATGCGCTTTTTCTTCTCTACTCACTTTCATGGCCAGGATAGAGGTGACGCATTTAGGACTGTCTGATTTATTACAAATGTCTGTAAATAATATTTTTGTGTACAGCTGTCCTACTGTGAAAGGAATGTTGTTGAGGAACTAGCACTGGCGATTGTTTTACAGCCTAAAACCATCTCTTTTTAACCTACAGAAAGCAGCGCAATGCGAAAGTGGCGGCGCAAACAGCCCAGCAAATTTGGCAGGCCTTTCCGTAGGAAACAATTAGCAGATCTGCCCTTGGTTTCCTCCTATGTTTCAAATTGCGACACTGGAAAAGGAATCCCTTCAATAGGCACTGCCACGTCGGGGTGGGGGAAGAGGAGGATTAGCCACACGGTGCTCCGGCCTCCTTAACGCTGCCTTTTAAGAGAGCCAGAATCGAAGCAGACTTCTCAGGAGGACTGGGATCACTTCACAATTTATCCAACAGATGCTTCCTCCAAGCTGTCAGTGAGAAAAAAACCCAACCCTGACCGAAACTCTGCAAGCCAGGAGGTATCTGCTGTCTGCGAGCAGCCTCCTCTATCTCCTTCCCCTTCCCTAGAAAGCCCTCCCTGGCAGCCCCTTTCCAAATTAATTGAACCAGTTTGCCAAGGAACACATCCCCGACGACGTCACACGTTTGCAAAGTCACAGTGTGCTCAGGAACCTCTGCTTTGTAAAGGTTTTCTTAAAAAAACAAAAACAACAACAAAAAAACCTAAAGAAGTCCAGAGTAGTAGCTATATGTTCAAATTGCCTTTGTAAATGGATTACCAGAACCTCAGGTTTTTTGCTGTGTTTCATTTCTACTCTGCGAGATGAATGATCTGATTCAGGTTTCTGTTTTTTATTTCCTGCCGATACTTCAGCAAAATGCAAAATGACTCCATCGCTAGCTAATCTTTCAATTACTCCAAGCAGCACTGCCTTTATGCGCCCTCAGATTTTTTATGATGACAAAAAGAGTTTGTTCTGAAATATTTTAAATGCTATAATCTAAACTATTATGAAAATAAAAAATCCAGAGCTGTGGTTTGTCTTTGGAAGCTAATAAGAACAATACGGTTCTCGCTCCAAGAAACTCTCCTGAGACTGTCCAGACCAGGCTGCTCCGCGACTGCAGGGGCAGGAGAGGAGAGGGGAGAAGGAGGGAACAGACAACTCATTAGGAGCTGGTGACATTTCATTTAACAAAAACACAAGGAGGAAAAGTTGTTATGAAGCTGAGACAAAAAAAAAGGAAGAAAAAAAAAGAAAGACAATTCCTCATATTACGTCTGGTGAACCAAGAGGGAAATCTCGACGCCCACGGACTGGGACCGACTCCAGGAGGGAAACCTTAGACCACTACGTCAACCTCTTACAGTAAACATGTTTTGCAGGTTTAAACAGTGCAGCTGAAATTAAAAAAAAAAAAGAAAAAAAAGAAAAAAGAAAAGGAAAGTCACATGGATTCTTGGTATTTATTTATTTATTTATTATTATTATTATTATTATTATTATCACATCTGCAGCCGCCTGGCCGCCTCCGGGCCCGAGGCGACTCCCTCCTGGCCGGGCGCCAACCCAAGTACACCAGAGCAATTTATACCTTTCCAAAATGCAAATAATTCAAATTACAGACATAACACAAAGCTGAAGCAGACACATTTCAGGCATTCCCGTTAAAGTTTACTCTCTGGAATTACTGTACCCGAATGGGCAGTTGTTATATGGCGAGGTGGTGGGGGGGAGGCAGGCGAGGAAGGGGAGGAGGAGGGAGGGAAGGAGGGACGGGAGAAAAGGGTTTTCCAAAAGTCTGATTTCATTCCCTTTCATTTTTATATTTACTTTTACTAAGTAATAAGAAGTGCCTTCCCCAAATTTAATGCCTGGCTCTGTTTTGGCATTTAAGATTTGCATCACACCGTTTTGAACAGAAAGACACATTTCGGTAAAGTTTAAAAATCTGTGCCAAGACATTTCACCGGGTTGTTTTTACCAAAAGTGGTCGTTGGCGGGGGGGCAGGGGAAATACCAAAAAAAACCCACAGAGCAACTGCACATGGACCAGCCAACGAGGGACAGCCCTCCGGAACCACCGCAACGCCCGCTCCATCGCCAACACCAGGAGCCGGTTTTTCCGCGCGGAGCCTCCGCCCGGCACTGCGTCCCCGGGGGTTCTCCGGCCACCAGAGCCGTCCCGGCCTCGGCGGCTTCCCTGACAGGTGGCCACCAGCCTTCCCACCGCGGGCGACCGCGCTCG